GCACTTGTTACTACTAGCGATGCACTTGTTACTACTAGGAGCAAGAAACTACCTGTAACAAAGGGCATCGTTTGATTCTGAACCCCAACCTTCGGATCCTCAGAAACCCATCGACGGCCATGGACGAAGATGCCCAGCATACGACGAGCATCAACGAGCCAATGGCAGTGTACAAGTCAACGGCGGATTCTGAAACTAGAACCGCGGATTCGGAAACTAGAACGGGTCTGAATCGGATAGTTTCTGAATCGGGTCTGTGAAAAACGAATACGTTCACGCTACATCAACACAAACATGTCATCAGATCATATCATATTAGATCCCCACGCAACCCCCCCCCACCCCCCAGTTGGTGAATCGGATAGCTTCTGAGTCGGCCAGTTTCTGAGTCGGCTAGTTACTGAGCCGGGTGAGTTTCTAAAGGGCCGCGACTTAACTTTGGATTTTTTTTGTTTCGTTTTTTGGATTTTTTGTTTTCCGTGTTTCGTGGCAGGTGCAGTACTTTGTGGACCTTGCAATGCACATTTCGTGGCAGGTGCAGGACTTTGTGGATGTGGAAGTGCAGAGTTGGTGGCAGGTGCAGGACTTTGTGGGCCTTGGAGTGCAGATTTTGTGGCAGGCGCAGGACTTTTTGTGGACCTTGAAGTGCAGATTTCGTGGCAGGTGTAGTACTTTGTGGCCCTTGGAGTGCAGATTTCGTGGCAGGCGCAGGACTTTGTGGACCTTGAAATGCAGATTTCGTGGCAGATGCAGGACTTTGTGGATGTGGAAGTGTAGAGTTGGTGGCAGATTTCGTGGCAGGTGCAGTACTTTGTGGATGTTGCACTGCAGATAGATAGAAAGATAGAAAGATACATGGATCGATAGATTGATAGATAGATAGGTAGATAGATAGATAGATAGAGGAGGCATATTTGCTTGGTTAGAAAGTTTTGCACCGGGCCTTAAAATATTGATTTCGTGCCAGGCGCGGGTGTCAAGGATGAAGTGCAGATTTCGTGGCGCGGGGGGGG